TTTTTGTAGGTGGTGGCGAACATCGTTGGGCCCGTGTTCTACTTTTGCATGACACACAGCTCTCCGACAAGTAATAAGGGGAGGGCCTTACCTTCAGAGAGAACTTTTAAAGGTAATTGCCCCGCATTTGAGTGCCGTCTGGAAGAGAACACAGAAAACTTCCACCATGTAGCCTGCTTATCGATGCGAGACGCTTTAAATGCATTGCCTTAATCGCCATTGAGTGGCATCGCTTCTAAACGCTGTGACTGCAATGGACATCATTAGCGAATTCAAACATTAGCCCTCCTGCATACCAGATGCGCACGTTACCAGGAGTCGAGCGCTAGTAACGATAGACTTTGAATCGGGTAATTATTCTTTTATAGGATTGCACAAATATTCCGAAACGATTGATTTTTTTTTCTTAGGGAAAAATCAAATCAATATTTTTGCGCAATTAAAGTTTTTCATTTAATTATACTTAATTAATATTTGTATACCTAACTATTCTTCTTCATTGGCACAACAGCCCCATGGTGAGCCAAGGCCGTATCTACAGTCATATTAGTCCGGGACCTACGGTTTAAAGTGGATAAATAATTACTATTTCATTAATATTACCTAATTTTTATGTACCATGAAAAATATAATCATTGTATTTTCTTCACACACACACACACACACAAAATTGCGGTTGTTGCTACTTGAAATAATCATCTTGCGCGTACTTAATTGGAATTCAAAACAAAGCCAGCCTTATTAGGTGATTTTAGTACCACGTGCCATCTGACATACACCTACATTGTTGCATTGCGACCAAAATAATCTAAACATGTGTAGGAAGACACCTACTAACTGCACAATGCTCAACAGTAATGAACAACGTCTAGACTTGAAGCTGTCTGCTCATTGCTGTTGATTCTTCTTTAAACTACTCTTTCCCCTACCAAATATAGAAACCCAATTTCTTTATAGACTTTTATGCATATCGCATTGCGACACAAAATGTAGTACAAAACGATTCAAAATCAGTTAAAGAGTGAAATAGTAATATTTTACTTTTATTCTTTATCAACTAATTAAATGAAAAATTAAATGCAAAGTTTTTTAGTGCATGTCATTTTATTTTTAATTTTCCCTTATATAGCATCGCCATTTCCCTTTATACCTATTATTAAAATAATACTTTTTGTATGTGTTATATTTTTTTTAAAATTCTATGTGGACTAAAACTCCAGTTTTCTAAAAATCAAATCGGTACAATTTCATGGACAACATTTTGTGTACTAAAAAAGGCTGAGATTTTTATTTTTCATTATTTTTCTGATGTTCATTTCATTATGCATATAACATTTGTATGAATTATTTTAAATTTAACTTTTGGTTTTTTTCTCATTAAGTTGTTTTATTTATTACCTCTTAGAAGCACAATTTTAAGCAATTTTGTTTATTTGAACTTAGATTATTATTATAATTATTACTGCAGTGCTGTAATGCATTTTTATTCAGCCATGAATTCTAGCAAATAAGAAAAATGTTATTATGAAATTCAAATTTATCATTAATTTTGTAAACTTTAATACATAATATTAACATTATTGTCACATTGTTATTTCTTTCATTATAAAATAATATTTTTATTTTATTCAAATTAGCTGTTGTTTTCATTAATTAAATATGAAAAAATTTTATTATAAAATTCAAATGTAACATTAATATAGAAAAACAATATATATATATATATATATAATTTGCTTATTATTTACAAATATTAAAATATTTCATTATAAAATTCATATTTATCATCAATTTTGTAAACTCTAATACATAACAATGATAATAATAATAATAATTATTATTATTATTGTTACATTGTTATTTCTTTTTATTTTTAATTTATTCAAATGAGCTATTTTCATGAATTAAAAATATGAAAAATTGTATTATGAAATTCAAATTTATCATTAATTTCGTAAATTATAATACATATTATTATTATTATTATTGTTATTATTGTTGTTGTTGTTGTTGTTACATAGCTATTTTTTAAATTTAATTTATTCAAATTAGATGTTTTCATTAATTAAATATGAAAAAATTGTATTATATAATCCAAATGTAGCATTCATTTAGAAAAACAATAATTTTTTTGGTTATTATTTACATTGCTATCACTTTTATTTACAGAATTATCAACTTTTTTATTAATTTAATCCATTTATATTTTTAATGATGCTCTTATCTTTTGGTAAAACTATTAAATTTATACTTATTTCAATTTATTTCAGCATATCTTCTCAATTGGGGGTCATATTCTTCTGTTTATCTAAAATTATTATTCTTTTTATGTTTCTCAACATTATTCGTTCAATTTGTAAACAACTATTAAATTAATATTCATAATAGCTGGATGAAACAATAGTAGAAAAATTTCAAATTGCAGGATTGTGCAATGTTTATCTTGCGAAAAACTACTTTTTAATGATATACTGCAACTGTCTTTTTTCTCCAATGCCGTAGCGTTGCAATCTTTTATTTCAGTTCTATTGTTAACTTTGTCAATCCTTGGAAATAAATATTCGAAAGGCGTCAGTTGCTTTGTCTGAATTGAACTTGCTGGTACTTGAAAAGAAAACGCTAAGTGCAGAATACTTACGTCAACGGACAACAATGTATGTTATGTAAGACTCACAACAATAAATTAAAACATAACAGTATATTAAAACGACATTCAAAAAAACTTTATACGTTGTTGTTACGTGACATGTTTTTTTTTCTAATGCAGCTGGCAAACACTTAGACAGCTTGGTCTTGATGCCTTAAGGCAAGCGCTGCACAGACGTTACTCACTTTGCATTAACTTGAAGATTAGCCACGGAGTAACAATGCCCCCGCAACGCTCATATTAGACCGGGATCTACGGTTTAAAGTGCATTCAGAACCACTACAAACATCCATGGCACCGCCGGGACTCGAACCAGAAACCTGTGGTACCGTGAGCGCCAGCCACTAACGGCCATTCAAGCCCGTTACGTGATATGTTACGAGAGGTTTTTCTAATATAAATAAATGCGTGTTTTTAGTCTTAGTTAATATATGCCTAGTTTTTCAGATTTTTAATGGAGAAAATTATAAATATTAAAAAAAAAAAGACATTTTTGATAGAAGAATACAAGCATTAAAAAGGGATAAAAAAAAAATCTATTTTTCCACATAATTTGATTTTGGATGAATTTTTTGATTTGAAATAAATATCAGCCATTAAAAATTGAGTGATTAAAAAGTGAGTTTTTTAAAAAGGAAAGATTAAAGTACTAAAGGAATGCAATTATTATTTTTTTTTTTTTAAACAAAATTTGTTTAAATAGATCTATTTTTTTTTTTTTTTTTAATCTTTTTAATTTTGATCTTTTATTACGAAAAAATTCTATGCAAGATTAAAGGTTTGAGATACTAAGAAACATGCCTTAAATAATAAAATATCATTAGGCGTTTATTATTGCTGAAATTAAAAAACAGCCTCCCATTTCTCATCATAAAAATAATTCTTCATTCCGGAATTCTCTCACACTGAATTTCTAAGTATTATAGTTCAGAAGTTACACTAAAATATACACGCATTCATTTATATATAAAGAGAGAGATTATGCTCATAATAAACATTATTAGATTACACTTATAATTAAGATTATTTTTAAGTACAAAAATTATCAATATTAAAAACTCACACAATGGGGATTTTTTTCCTCTTTTATAACCACATGATAGCAAAACATCAGATCGGAGAGGGAAAAAAACCCCAAGAAATTCTTGAAAGGGGTCATCGGTCAAGTAAGTCATCGGCCCCTAATGTAGATGATCAGAAATTAAAAACTGTGTCGCCCATTTCCCATCAGAAAAATAACTCTCATCCCGAAAAACGTGTCCCAGATGTAGCGTACAGGAAGTCTTTAGGAATCAACAGTTATTCAATAGCAGTTTTTGGGAATAAAAAAAAGTGAAAATGCATCCATAAATAGAATTCGATTACTTAAAGAAACAGGTTAGGGTTTTTTTTTTTTTTTTTTTTTTTTTGGTTTGTCAATTTGTGCACACGAGGATTAACAGACCGAACCACTCACAAACATCCATGCCACCGGCAGAATTCGAGCCTGAAGCACAAAGTCCAGAGTACTAACCATTTGGCCATGCAAATCATCAGTGTGATTTAAGCTGGTGCTTCAGGGTATGAGGAAATATATAACGAAACCTTTCACTATTAAACATAAATGCAAAATCCAACCTTTAGCGTGCTCAAGCTGATTTGTTAGACTTTTTGCTAGATTTGTTTTGACTTTTATTTAGTTTGTACCCAGGTTTGTAATGTCTTGAGAGTGTAAGGGCCTGAATGGCCGAGTGGCTAGCGCTCTGGAGCTCGGTACGACAGGTTTCGGGTTCGAGTCCCGGCGGGGCCATGGATGTTTGTAGTGGTTCGGAATCCACTTTAAACCGTAGGTCCCGGTCACGATCGTAGAGCGTTGTGGAGAATGACATATTAAAAATAAAGGAAAAAACTAACTGTTGATGTATACAGTGATTAGGGGATTAGAGTCCTTGTTGCTTCACATCCCCATATACCACTTCATTCATCATCGTCTTGAGAGTGCGTTGTTGTTGTGGCTAATCCTCAGTGTCCGGCAGCGCGGGAAGGACACCCTATGAGTAGTAGTCTACTCATGGATGTAGGGAAAAGGAGTAGTTTCTGTTGTGATGGAGTACCCGTAGGTAGAAGTCTGACTCGGTTCCATGATGCTGAAGAAGGAAGGCAGTGCATTCCGCAAGGATTCTTAGAAGGAGCTACCCCGCATTTGCGTATCGTATGGGAGAAAACACGGGCAACTCCCACCAGGTAACCAGACTCACGAAGCAAGATGCTGGCCATCACAAAACGAAATTGAGTCTGCTCGTTTTTTTTTAGAAGAACTGACATGTTCAGTCTGATAGGCCTTTGTTAAAATATGATATTACATCTTGATCCAACGGCCATACCATGCTGAATATACCGGTTCTCGTTAGATGACCGAAGTCAAGCATCATTGGGCGCTGTTAGTACTTGGGTAACCACCTGGGAACACCGCATGCCGTTGCCATTCACAGCATTTGGGACCTGAATGGCCGAGTGTCTAACGCTCTGGCGCTCGGTTCCACAGGTTTTGGGTTCGAATCCCGGCGGTGCCATGGATGTTTGTAGTGGTTCGGAATCCACTTTAAGCCGTAGGTCCCGGTCTCCTATGACTGTAAGAGCGTCACGGAGCAGAAGTCAGACTTCTACCTACGGGTGCTCCATCAGAACAGAAGCTACACCCCTCCTTCCATGAGGGACACAACAACAACATCTTGATTTCCCAAGTTAAATGAACATTTCTTAAAATAACAAGGTTCGTTTTGTTTCATTTTTCTACCACATCTTCCAGGGTCCTTCTAATGTTTGAGATTGCCGTTTATAAAGAACTCATTTAAAAGCCCAAAATGCAAACTATTCCATAGCAGAACACGTGGGGGAAGCTGGGTGGGATGCACATTTCAATGGATATTCCGGTTTCATTTCGTTTTTCCCAAACATAGGAGAAGAGTATTTTAATGTATGAGGCTTTATCTCCAGTGGTTAGCTCTCTGCCACTCGATATCACAGGATTCGGGTTCGAGTCCAGATGGTGCCATGATGGATGCTTTTAGTGGCTCTGAATCCATCTTAAACCGTAAGTCGCGGTTTAATATGACAGTAGAGAGTTGGACGTAGGGCTGAAAAACGACATCTTATGTTTCAGAATCTGCCAGTAGACAAAGGCCTTGGTCCACCATAAGGCTGTAGCGCTATTGAAGAAGAAGATATACAGTGGGCCACAAAATTGAGTATACACCTTCAATTACAAATTAAAATATTGCTTTTAGATGATTGAATTTTTACCTAATATACATCTATGTTTTACCGTACTATACTTATAAAATTGTTACCGAAAAAAAAAATTAAAGATGAAACGAGGGAAAAACAACAACAACAAATTAATACATCTACAGCTTGATTTCCTTCTGGACATAGATTCTACTAGTGTTTTAGTGGTTTGAAATTTTTAGCCCATTCTTCTCTCAGAACCTTCTTGAGAATAACAAGTGATTTCGTTCATGTACAGCTTTCTCTAATTGCGACCACAAATTTTCGATGACGTTTAGGTCTGGTGACTGGGCTGGAGTGTGCAATTGCTTCCAATGGTCAGCAAGTATCTAATCTTCGCTGTATGCTTGAGAGTTGTCCTGCTGGAATATATAAAGAACTTTTTCAAGTTATCGTTCAAAATCCCCAAATATACATGTTTGTCCAACCATCAATAAAAGCAAGCTCTCCACTCCTCCAGCACAACCCCAAACGAGGACAGATCCACCTCCGAACTTGACTGTCTTAATGGTGTTTTTAGGTGCCAGTGCTTTCCCAGCTTCTCTCCATATTTTAAATCGTCCATCGCTTCCGTAAAGATTAAACTTACTTTCATCAGAAAATATTCAATTCCAGAAAGGACTTTAAACAATGTTCTTTGGCGAGAATTTTTCTTTTGTCCACATACTTGATGAGTGGCTTTCGTATTTTGAAACCCATGTTGATGAAGGGTACGTCGAATTGTTTCAACTGAGATCTTTTTCCCGATTGTAGAGGACATCGATAAAGCTAGTTTGCCACTCGGATCTTTCTTTACTGAGTGAATGATCTTCCTCTTCGCTGTAGTACTCAGTATTTCTTTACGTCCTCTTCCGACAGATCCAGTTCTTTTATACTTCTGTAGTATTTTTTGGACACAACCATGGTAACACCAATCAACGAAGCGATTTTTCGAAGAGATTTGCCCTCTTTTGACCATTTAAACCAATAAACGCTAAGTTTCTCTCGAGAGCTCATTTACGATTTTTAATGAGAAAAATACTATTTAAAAGCGTTGAAGTGCAATAGCACGTGTTATAAGCAGCAGCTACTCCTAAAACTCTTTAAAGAAAACTTGAAACTAAAAAAAGTGGTGGCATAATTTACAAATATAAGAAGTGTATACTCAATTTTGTGGCCTGGTATTCTATCTTTTCCGAATAGCTTAACTTTTTCGTAATAAATAAGTTAACTATTTGTGTTATTATAGGATGGCAAAGCAGAAGTTAAAGTATCTAGGATAAAAAATTTATCTATTTAAATCAATATTTAATTTGTAATTGGAAGAAGTCTAAAAGTTTTAGGTGCATACTCAATTTTGTGGCTCACTGTATATAGAGCAGTAGATTTATAGATATGACAGGCAGCCTTATTCTGATGAAACTTAACACTGTAAAGAGTAATTTATGCAGTGATGGAATGCCTCCTTTAAAAATTCGTGAAAAAAACATACTTATGATAATAATCTGAGTTAATTTTGACATTTATTTTTTACTTTCATTATTTTAAACTTTCAGTTGTAAGAGAATCCACTAATAATTATAAAATCTTTATCAAAACTTTGTCCTTACCAACATTTTACTCTATTTCTATCCTTTTTCGGTAGTCACTCAATATTTTTCTATTGGAATCAAATAAATATATCTAGACCTCATCAATTATAACTAAACACGTTAATTTTTCACATACCAAATAATTTTTATACAACAATTTGTACATAGTCTTACGCTGAGAAACATGTATTTGGCGTTAGCCGATGAATGTCATATGTATATATTTTTTTTATTTCGATGAGCTTCAAATCATATTTTATAATTTTGTTTATAGTTTCTATAGAGATATATAAAGATTTTGCGATAGTTTATTGAGGAAGAGGTGTCACATTGTCTTTTAAAACATGATATTCCACTTTAGATATAGTAAGAGATAATACGTACCTTTGTTGGATATGCATTTTTTATCCTTTTTTCCTTGTCAAATGTAATATTTAACGTTTCTTTAGTTATGTCACTTATTTTACACGCAGAAATATTACAATCATGCTTTTCATGTCTTTTATTATTAATCGAATAAAAATATTTCTCTTCGTAAAGAGCAAAAACATAACCTTCGAATATTTAGCTTATTTTTCAGTGACGTATTAAAAACAAAGAATAATTTTAATGATGCAAACGATATTTAAACCCTATTCCGAACTGATGCCATTCAGATTTTTTTTTAACTCATTTAAATTTAATTTACGGAAAAATCAAAACCGTTACGAAAATAAATCTCTCTGTATTTATTTATTAATCATTCAATTGCTGACACGATATTGTGACTTACGTTCAGCATTGCATTCATTTGAACGTGAAAAATGTAGACTCGAATGCAAAGAGCAATAATTTATTTGACTTTCTATTCGCACAACCCAACTCAAAGTTATCGTTTGCAACCAAATTTTTGCATTCGCACTACGATAAGTTTGTTTGCAAGGAACAAACTGGAGAAAATTCTAATACACACCTTCGAAATTTCATTGGCGATAAGTCAGTCCATTTACTTTAACCGCAAATGAAATAAGTATACTAGTATGAATGAAAAAAGTATGTCAATACTCATATAAATTTTAAAGTTTTTACGAACTAATAAAACAAGAGCTAAACTAAACAAATTATTAACAATTTAAAAAATTAATTATCTATGCAATTGATGCACAAAACAGAAGGCATAGAATGTTTCATGTATTACATACATATATTTATAGAAATATTATTCATTGTCTAAATCTTTAAAATGTTATTTTTGATTATTTAAATGGTTAATCAATTGTTAGTAATGAAGACAAAAAAGTTTTTTGCAGGTTAATCATTTCAATTAACTAGATATTTTATCGATATAATAACGATATTATATACTAATATATTATGTAATAAAGTATTATTATATTACTCTACGATCGATTAATATTGTATCGATTTATCTCGTAATCACCACATTTTTACATACATATAATTTTTTAATACATTTTTTAATACAAATTATTTTAACTGAAAAGGAAAAAATTTAATACTGTTAGAGAACCAAGTGTTGCCAACAATGAAAATAGTCATGTTGTATCAGAAATGGTTTATTCATAACATATGAACATAATAATAACAATATGGCTAATATTAAATAACTTAGCTTTGTAATAATATAAAATAATAATAATATAGCTTTAAAATATTCTAATATTAGACACTTGATGAAAAATTAAAACAGGAATTTAATAAAAATTTACTTTGATAAAAAAAAAATGAAAATTAAAATATTAAAGGAATATTTTATTCAATATTTTCTATTTTATTAAAAACTCTCACAATAACGTCAAAGCTTCGTTGCAGGTTACTTATCAACGTATTTTTTTTTTTTATTTTATTTTTATTAAAAATGTAGAATATTTTTAATTGCTGTATAGTGAATACATACATAGCTGTGGTTGTTGCTAAATAATACATTCAAATACACATTCCTGTTTAGATCAATACATATTTATGAGCAAAAATTTTTAGATATGAATATATAAGAAACGATATTATTAAAAACTATTTGACTAATCAATTTTGCGTTTGGTTGTGCTAAATGCTAAAATATTTATTAAATTTACTTTTCAAGCATCAAATTTTTTACTTGCTTTTAAATTATATTATTTATTATATAAAGAAATTAAATATATATATTTACATATATCAAAAAAGAATACAAATATTGACAAATATACTTACAACAACAGGGTATGAAACAAGCTGTTCAGAAAATAAGTAAATCCCACAAGAAGTTACTTATAATAACCCAAAGAAATTAGTAACAACATCTTGCTGTAGTGGAAACAAAAACAAATCTAGCGACGCATCCCGATAACATGGAGCAATATGTGTGTCGCAGGTTTTGTTTACATGTCTTGTGTGAGGCAAAGTTATAGGGCTAACCACAGCCTTTGCAAAATTCTACATCTCCACCTCAAATGAATATTTCCATTTGTTATTTATCACATGACAACACACATATGTTGACATTCTTTATATATATATATATATATATATATTATATACTTTATATATTATATACTGTTTTATATATATATATATAATCAACAAAATATATTTTTTTTAAAAATATTCCTCCTATGATTACTCAAATTTAATTTCATATA